AGTTCGGCAGGCTTTCTGGAATGATAAGGATGCTGCTAGACCCGGGTCTGCTCGGTGGGACACGAGGCAGGAGGGGCACCGGGGGTGGGGGGGGGAGCAGACCGGCGGTGCAGCACGTGCTCCGTGTGGGGATGTCAGCCACGTCCGATGAGGCACAAACACACGTCCACAGACCACCAAAGGAAAGAGAAACATTTAAAGAATGAGCTTTGTGAAATGACAGGCGTGTGAGGGGGCTGTAACACACATCCAGAAAAGGCTTTGCTGGACCTTTCTGCCATCACGACCTTAAACTGGATAAGCGAGGAATAGAGGTGGATGGATGGATGGATAGATGGATGGATGGATGGATGGCCTCCAGTTATTCCCTCTGTGCTCCAGCATTGTAGATCCCTCATCAGACCTCATCCCCATCCAGGTCTCAAAGCAGTGCAGAAACCCAATTATCTTTAGAAACAGCTGCCCCTCTGCCTCCAACAGACAGGGCGGACAAGTGCGGTCGCCAGCATGTCCGACAGCCTCTGAGCAGGCCCCCGGGGGAGGGACTAGCGGGGCGCCGGGTTAACCCCTTCCTGCTTTTTGTTCCAGAAGACAGGAAGCTGTTTGTGGGAATGCTGAACAAACAACAGACGGAGGAGGATGTGTACCGGCTCTTTGAGCCCTACGGCGTCATCGAGGAGTGCACGGTGCTGCGAGGCCCCGACGGGAACAGCAAAGGTGAGCGTGAGGCCACCAGGAGGACGCCAGTCCGCAAAGGCTTCTCATATATCACGCCGTTTGTGATCCGTTTTTAAAGAATGCATTCATCGCGGGACATGTAAATACAATAACGTACATGAGTGATCAAAGCCGGCCGTTGCAGGCTCATTCTGAAATAGCATACTTGTTTATTAAATAGTAAGCAAAACATTATATGCAAAGTGAGCAGTATGTTAGAATCCTTAGTATGGATAAGACAGTAGGCGAACGGGGCCTGAATGACAAACGTCATTCTGTAATATTTCAAAGTGTGCAACCAATGGACGCTACGCTATCCCGCAAGCTCACTGAAGCTGGATCCAGAGATGAAGGACGTCACTTGCTCAGAGATTCGTGGCAAGAGCAGGTGCTGTCTGTGTGCAAATTTATGTAGACAAACAATACCCATTAATACGCATAAGCTGACTTCAACATGTATTTTTTGTGTCGATAGTTTTTGACGGTTTTTAACTTTTGTGGGAATCAAGCTACATCGTTGGTAAACATCCGGGTCAGACAATATGCAAGATGGTGACTGAAATCCGATATAGATTAAGTATGTGATTTCAGATGCACCTTTACAGAAGTTCCAATGTCCTTAGTCTCTGGATGGGAGGGCGCCTTTCCATGTCCCGCGCCCGACAGGGCTCTGCACACAGCCCTCATGGAAACCACCGAGCAATTTTCCCAGTGTCTGAAATAATAGCACTGCAACTAGGTGGTCACATTCGGGTCAAGAGGAAGCGCTGGATGTCGGGACGACCCGGGAGCCTCCTTAATGAGAGTGGAGCAGCACAATCAAATTGCATTTTACTTCTCATTTGTTTTTTATTTGCATTCATGCTCTCAGCCTCTTGGAATCCATTTGTCGTTCTAAAGAGATTTTAGGCCCACATGTATTAAGAAGCAAATTCGGCGCTGTAATGTCATTAATAGCAAAAAAAATCTTAGACGGGCATTTTTTTTCTGTCTCAATTCTAACTTGAGCGAACAAACATGTTAAGATCCTTGAAGAGCATCGCTGTCCTTATCCGAGCCTGACTGGGTGGACCAGTGAGCCACAGTGATTCCAGTGAGACGTCTTTGGTGTGTGACATGCATAGGCAGGGCCTCCCAGCTAAATTGCATGCTTTTCTGTGGCGCCGCTGCAATATGTATGGAAAACTGCAGTCCCAGGCGCCTGGAGCCGGGACCCCCACTGGGCCGCGACACTCTTCCTGTCTGTCTCTCTTTTTTTTCCCCCTCTTTTCTGTACTGCCTTGACACACTTCCCTTCTCGCCGTCTACCCTCCAGGCTGCGCCTTCGTGAAGTTCTCCACGCACGCTGAGGCGCAGTCCGCGATTGGCGCCCTGCATGGCAGCCAGACCATGCCGGTGAGTACGTCCACCCAGCCGAGCCCTCGTCCTCCGGCGCCGTGTCCGATACAGCATGCGATCTCGGCGCCGGGACCAGCGAGTGCAAAAGGGAGAAGGTCGGCCTGCATTAAGCAATAATGAGATGAGGAAACTGGGGCCTCCCTGCACCGCAGCTCCCTGCGCCCCTCCGATGCGCATCATGCATTTTTAACCGTTTTTGTTAGCGTGGGACAGAGTGGCTGCAGCCAATGTGTACAGAACAAGTTATATAACAAAACACACAGAGGACGGGGGCCTCTGTTAAGGAACCACATTAGTATCGATCAGCCGGCAGATAAGGCCTCTGGGTGTGTCCCCCCCCCCCCCCCCC